TTTCAGGGCGAGGGACGCCTTTGGAAAATGGTTTTTCGCATGGTGTAGAGGGACCGAGTACAGAACAATGGTCCATTTCTGCTATGGACTTCTAAATGCCAGTAAAGAGTGAAAATGATTTTGTCAGAAATTGCCGTTTTGCCCCACTAAGCGTCGTTTGTGACATTCATGACGTCGACTGTCCTCACAGTAGAAGGCGCCAGTGGACTGCGCAATAACGTGAACATTAGCCAAATGTGACGGATGCTGTAGTGGATAGCGATGTGGACTTCGAGTTGAGACGACTGGGCTGGGTTGATGGTCCGGATCCTCGAGGCGCAGCGGTTTTCGCATTTTATGCTGTCACCTCCAAATGGACTCCATATTGCACGGACCAAAGCAAATGCCTGACTGATCATGGCCGTGACCAGGACCAGCGATAAGCTCTACAAGTCCAATTTTACTGAAATTGATATCAACGTGTTGGCTCAACAACATCCTTCTTTTGGCCAACGTTCACGTTATTTTCAATGCGCAGTCCACTGACGCCTTCTACTATGCAGACAGTCGACGCCATGAATGAAACAAACGACGCTTAATGAATTAAACGGCAGTTTCTGACGAAATCATTTTCGCGCCTTTTTTTGTCATTCAGAAGGCCAAATAGCGGAAATGGACCATAGCTCAGTACTCAGTGCTCATGCCCCTATACCATGCAAAAAACTATTTTCAGAAAGCGTCCCAAGCCCTGGAAGATCTTCCTCGTCAAGAAACTTCTTTAAAAGTGACTAACCAATAAGGGGAAACACTCAAGACGTCACTCACCAACACTCTTTTAGCCTCATACGGCTCATCCCTAAGTTGATTGAAACCACAACGCAACATACTACGTCGCGCATCTTCGGCGCATTGCGGGAATGAAGCACGTTTTCGAGCCGTGCCCCCAGCAGCACTGAAATATAACGAAAGGAATTCATTGTCAATCGCAAGATTTGCGCATTCTCACGGTAAAATAGAAAACGATAGGTGACCAGGTTGGTCTACGAAACGGCACAACAAAAAAAAGATTCCTAGCAAATAATTCAGTTAATCATTACTTATCCAATCCCTACTTTTATTTCAGTAGATGACACATCGAGAAAAAATGCAATACTGATAAAAGGATAGAGGATAAAGTTTTTGACGTTAATCAATCCCGTCTGAGGTATGCGCCCCCGCACTCGACTTCCATTCAGAATCGTAGTGGCGTAATGAGTGCGTATGTGGCCTATACAATGACTTGCGATGGCCAGCTGACGTACAAGTCAGTGCTTTTATCCTCCCAGACGAGTCTGGCACCAATTCACCGACCCCG